ACCTAGAAAGCAGTTAAGACAACAGATTAATATAGAAAATCACAAACTAATTTACTTTTCAAATAAATTATGGAAGTCATATACCTGGTACAGCCTTTTAAAATTGGATTGATATTCTAAGAAAATGGAATGAGTGGAGCTGAAATTGCTCAAGTTTACCACAGATGTCAGCTCGGTGTCCCCTGGACTTCAGGGTTAGTGTTGGTAGGAGGTAGAGACTCTCGGCCTTTACAGGAACCACGTTCTGTTCTGAATGGCTTCTGCAGGCCCAGGGCAGAGAGATGGCTAATAGAGACAGCAGTAACTGTTCCACCTTTGTGAATAGGGGACCTTGTTCATTGTAAGAATATACCACAAGCTGAGTGACTTAAACAACTCAAGTTTGTTATCTCACCGTTGTAGACGTGTGGGTTCCCTCTGGTGTTTGTAAGGAAGGATCTGGGTCAGGCACCTGTCCTGTCTACTGGCAGTCCCTTGACTCCTGACACCACGATTCCAGCCCTCCAATAGTGTTTTCTCTGTGTCTCTGCCTTTGTTAACCCATATCTTTATAAAGACAGCAGTTGTGTCTGACTAGGGTGGCCACACTAGTACAGTAGAATCTGTAGTGCGCTACTTTCCAATCAAGCTACATTCAGCGGTGCTGGGGTGTTAAGATGTCAACATGTCAGTGAGGGAACCATTATAAACTCATGAACAGGTGATTATATATATTTTATTGTCCGAATTGGGACGCTTGAGGAAGTAAAAGGACATAATATGGTATTTATCATGGGGGCTCTGCAGAAAAATATATACATCCTCACAGACTCCAAAGTGTGTGTTACCAAGAGGGAGATTTACTGTGGAAAAGTAGACTTGCACATTACAGCGGTCAAGAAGTCCCACAGAACAGTTGGGACTGTGAATGGCTATGCTGCCTGCAAGCCAACGAGCCACAGAAGCCTGTTGATGAATACGGTGATTCCAAACCCTGAAATTCTGAGAACCAACGAAACAACTCAGTCCCAGGCTGCAGATGGGTGAATGTGGTAAGGTCCATTCTATGAGAGTATGAGTCAGACGCTGAAATGAAAGACAGAAAGGGATAGATGTGGTGATCTCTCCATGCCGCTGCCCTTTTGTCTCTCAGGAATGTCAGTGGACTAGAGTTCAATCTCTTATAGAAACATTCCCTCACAAAGCAAAATAGTGTTTTACCAATTATCTGGGAAGCTCTCTAAGTCTATCAGGGCTACACATAAGGTTGACCAGCTATTAAAAATTGTTGAGGTACAACCTGAGTCTGCCATAGGCACCCTTGGATGTGTGTCACTGTACGTGTAAGGTACGAATTACTTATCCCATTTTTCAAAGGTTTGTTGAGATTAAATAACTTAAAAAACCTTCATAAGAAGTTAGCCTAGTCATATTTGTAAATTCCTGCATTGTAACTCTGAATAAAATAAATGAATTTACTATGATTCCTTCTCCAATTTTCTTTTTTGTATTCTGTATATCTCTTTCATTTTTAAGTAATTTTGGCTATAGGGAAACAAAATAGTAATTTGTTACATTTCATTAAGCTTATTTAATATATAGTTATTTCCTATGTACTGTTTCACTTTTGTTTGTTTGCTGTTCTATTGGTATTTGGAAGGGAAGACCACACAAAACTATATAATAAAAAGAATATTCCTATGCATCTTATCTTAGACTTGCTAGAAAAAAAATAATTTTTTGTAAGTGATTTTTCTGTAACCTATACCTGATTTGTTGATTGAATTGCTTATAGGTAATTGAATTATTAATAGAGCAGAAACAAACATTTCACATTCTTTCTTATCTGTCAGTAAAATAACATTACCTGAAAAATCTAACAATTAACTTCTCAGCCTATAGAGAAAACAGAATAATATCTCGATGCTGGAGCTACTGCCACCATCACTACTAGTAGTATTCCACTGTCCTGTTTTCTTCAAGTTAATGTTTAAGAACTCAGTGAGTGGTAGTTCTTGTTACTCTCCTGCTGTTACAGATGCTGCTGTTGTTATTGCTTTCAGTTTTGTCATCCTCCTCCACTGGTCAACTTTCCCATTGTTAGGACAACATCCCTGGCTGGCACTTGCCACGTAGAGCAGGAGAGTTGATTTTGGCTCATGACTTCAGAGCTTTCTGTGCAGGTTTGGCTGACTCAGAGACAGAGATGATAGCAGAAAGGTGGAACAGAAGTGCTGCCTGCTGAGTGAGGAGGGGGCAAAAGCAGGGAAGAGGCGCTCAGAGACCACCCCGTGGCCCTCCTCCCACGCAGAGCTCTGCCTCCAAGGGCACAAGTGCTGCCAGCACGCCTCAGTGCTGCTCGCAGATGACTACAGCACGCACGAGCCAGTCACCTTCCAGAAGAATGCCTCGTCCCTGAGGCCTTGCAGGGGACGTTTTAGATCAAAACAGAACAATCCTAAAGAGAAAAGCATTCTAGAAATACCAGAGGAGTGACATCTAATAACTTAGAGACGAGGCTAAGGAGTAATGAGTGAAAAAAGCAGCGTGGATGTCTCCCGAGTTTCTTCCTTTTAAGTACATTTTATTGCGTCTATATAAAGTGCAGATAAAAAAATAAAAAAGTGTGGATGATGTTATAGCACATATGCAGATAGGAAAAAGGTTACTTACATTAACCTATCCACAATGTTGTGTAGTGAACCATTTTTCTGTGTTTTTGTGACAATAGCAGCTGAAATCTCATGCAGTGTACCAGCCAGAGTAGTTTTATTGCAGGTTTCTTATTTGCTAAGTAGATGAATGTGAATGAATTAATCAGGACAATATATAGGGCATACAAGATGGGAAGGTAAGATCATGAATTCAGAATAATTCCTGCTAAATTTAAAGTGTTCCTACAGTATCCAAATGCGGTGTATCCCTGCCAGGGGGACCTGGGGGTGTTTGGAGAGGAGAGACTGTACAGAAGTCTAGAGCTAAGACAAGCATATTATATCCATTTAACGTTGAAAATTAAATTAGTTTTCTGGATGTTAAAAGTGCTTGGACAACTATGAAAAGTCACACTTTCCTGTAGTTAAGTTTGCTAAGGTACAGAATTCCTGCTTGGTTATCTCTCACATAAGTTGCTAAGGCTGGGTGGCTCAGGAAGGAGACTGACTCGTTCTTATTTGTGCCTTCACTCGTTGCTTAGTTTGAATTTCTTTTCCTTCTGGGTGTTTGTCACCATTACTTGGCAAGGAAAATTCTGAGTGTTTTCATTCAAAGGAGAGAGGCCAGAAAATGCCAGTAAGCTGGGGCTGCCACTGCACAGTATGACTGGGACCATGGTGCAAGGCTGCTGGACCCCTGGTTGACTGAGGGCTGCAGGCTACAGCTGCCTCCCTTGTGATGCAGAGGAAGACACAGAGTGGGGGCAAGGGCGGTCATGCCTGACAAGCAGCTGTTGAGTGAAGCCGCAGGAGACTCATGCTGCCTCAGTACGTCAGGGGCTCTCTAGGGCAGGGATGTGCAGGTTGGACCCAGCAGGACACAAGAGCCTGGAGGAATTTTGCACAGTCAGGCTGGCTCCTGACACATGGACAGACAGATAGAAGATTTATATTTGATGAAGATTTGTGGGTTTTGTTTTCTTTTATGTATGTAACCAGAGGAGCATCTGGTCATGTTTGTATGGTATTAAATGAAAGAATAAATACATAGGTGATTTTGAGCTACTGTTAAATCTGAATAATTAACTTTCAACAGGACAGTATCTTCAGATTCTTTTTGGATGTTATATTTTGTGATTTTATGAATTTGTATTTTTGTGATTTTATGGTAACATTTTTGAAAAATGTGTTGTTTGTGAATATGCTTGCTTGTTTTAAATATCTTAACTGCTATTTAAATTTTTTAATTTTTTTATTTTAAAGAGAAAGAAAAAAAGTAATGATACAGAAATTCAAAACAAGATAATAAGAAATTTTCAATTTAT